CCTTCAGAGCTCTGTAGAAGCCTTGAAAACATTTCTCTGTTGAAGTTTACTTTTTAAGGAGTCTTCCAAAAGATAGGGGGTTTCTCAATTTCTTTCCATGTCAGTGCCTTGTCCAAGTTTGAATATATAATACAGGGCCTTGCCTTTCCTTCCATTTTGATCATTTGTTTGCATTTTCCTACTAATTTCCTGAAGAGTTCTAGGATGACATTTTGTGTCCAGCAGTTAGCTAGAGTATGATGGTTTGTTAGATCATAGTATAGCTGGTGGGGTTTGAGTCAGGTGACAGACAGATATATATTTAGAGGTGCAGTGATCTAGCCTTGTCCTGAGGACCAGGAAAGATGAGGGAATGACATTCATTGCAGTTGAAAACAGTGTCCATTTATCTGCTGACAACTTATCAGGGGTCAAAACATCAGCGAATGGGTCAAACATCTGCTTTGTCCTGTTTGTGACAGTGTACATTTTTGTAATCTCTCTGTATGTTTATGCCTATACTCAGGTCAGTGACAGCATGTTTTTCTTTCCAATGCCACTGGAATTAAAATGAACCATTTTTCATTTTTATTTTTTCCAGAACAAGCCTGCCTTCGCCTATGTTCTCCAGAAATGACTTCAGCATCTGGAGCATCCTCAGAAAGTGCATTGGGATGGTAAGTCAGCTTCTGATTCCTCACTGCGTTGAGCAGCTGCCTGTTTGATTTCAGATCTTTAGGAAGGGGATCTTGAAAAAATAACATGGAAGTGTGGCCTAACGCCTGTCAAAATACCCATAAGAGTAAGAAATTCAGCCTTCCATTGGGTTTTTCTGGAAGAATCTGTATCTCTCTTTATACTGTTTAAAGTGGCTTTAATGTGACTCCTACAGGAAAATAAAGACATCCTTTTCTTTTGCAGCACACCAAATTCATATTTCTTCAAGAGAAGATCCACTGTATAGCTCTTTATTTTGCTTGGGCTTCTGTGCAGAACCCGCTGCCACACTCTGGCTCTGTGGTGTGCTGAGGTAGATATATGGGTTGTGTCTCTGCTGCACTGTCAGGGCTTGGAGGAGAGGGAGGACAATGACATTTCCTCTTTCTGGTCAGTTCTGCCACCTGAAGCTAGCCTAGAAATCTCTTCCTAGTGTGCTCTTGACCACCAAGAATGATGATAATTGAATAACATGGGTCTCAAGGTGCCAAGGATTCAGCCTGAACAAATGTTGCGTTTAATGTGTTCAGCCACTCTACCCGCCTCTGAGCTATCCTAGTGTTCCTTTGCTCTGAGGTTGGTACTGTCAATAGAGACTTCCTAGGTGTCACTTCCAAGGAGCTTATCCCAGAAACATCCAGGTTAAGCCAGTGCTTCTGAATCCTCACAGAAAATGATCCAGCTAAGATTTGGGAAGCTGTAGTTTCATCTCAACCCTGCCACTTCCTTACTGTGAGACTGGGCAGGGTGCTATCCCTCCTGGTGCACTGCTGCCTCCTGCACCAAATCTGGGCACCAGCCCATACTTTAGAGATGTGTGCAAAGATAAGTGGTTTATATAAAATGTCTAGATATCAAGCCGGGCGTTGGTGGCACACGCCTTTAATCCCAGCACTCGGGAGGCAGAGGCAGGTGGATCTCTGTGAGTTTGAGGCCAGCCTGGTCTCCCGAGTGAGTGCCAGGATAGGCTCCAAAGCTACACAGAGAACCCTGTCTCGAAAAACAAACAAACAAATAAATGAATAAATATGTCTAGATATCTGATAGATTAGCATGGTGCTCAATGCATAGTAGTCCTTGTAGCAGCAGCAATACCAGATGAGAGTCAGAATGTGGGCTTCAGATCTCCTTCAGTCACATTCAAGACACCAAACATATATGACAAATATGTTCTTAAATAAGATGACGGTTATACACCCACTAAGCTGTAGGCTAATACAGGTTACTTGCTACTGACTTTAATACTATCTTTGCAACAAGACAAAAATTTGTTTTCTGTGGAGTTGATATTTTTCAGACCTTCAATAGATGTATTTATCTTTGTCATCTAACATGTAGCTGTGTGTATATGTGTGCTCCTAAAATCAAAGCCAATTTCACAAGAGAATGGCTTTCTTATTACCACAGTCATTTTTTATATTAAAGCAATGCAGATTTAAACTCATTAAATGGATTCATAACTTGCTGATAAACCAAGATCCATGGGTTGAAGTATACCGCTCTGTGTCCTATACAATTGATGCCACATCTGCCTTAGGACTCTGAGGGGAAGGAGTTTGTATGACACATGTGTAGCTGGTCTTCCTGAACACTATGAAAAATGCAGGCTTTTGTCTGTCTCTTGTCCAAGCCTGTCTCCTGTTTCAGCAGATGGCAGATGCCATGGTGGTGTCATTGTGTGGTAAATGTTTGCAGAGGTGACCAACAATATGGCTGTCTTTAGCAAGTTCCTGTCTACACTAGAGCTTACCTCCCTAAGTTAGGAGATGGCGTCATGTTGGATCAAGCCTGTCATTGTTCTTTCTAGAATAGGGCTCTGCTTTTATTTTTAGGTACAGAGCGATGTGTGTAAACAAACACTCCGATGAGTCATAAATAAAATAAAGCAAATAAAGACAGCTGTGTGGCTTGTGAGAGCCCCATAAAGTGTTTTGGAACCTGTCTGTAGATCTGGCTGATGAAAGCATGAACAGGCAGCTGCAAGGAAATAATATCTTTGGAGGTGACCCTGCTGATGTCGTAGATTTATTAATGTGAGTTTAAGGGGCATCACCAGCATTTGGACTGTCCTTTAGGCACTGACCGTGGAAGGATTGCCTCTCCTCGGCAGCAGAAGAGTCAAAAGGTGTAAGTGCTGGGCATCAACAGAGGTGGAAATAAAGATATCCTGGCAGAGTAGTGCAAATAGCATCACCGTAGTGAAAATTGTGTCTTGTACTCTAATATATACCTGTTCCCCCGAAACAAGTCAAGACTTAAAAAATAGTAGTATTCAGATATCTTGATACCCTTGAAGAATTTTTAAAAAATCCTTTACCTAATATCCATGACTTTGTTACAGTTAGTGTCAGTCAGAGTTTGAATACCCATGTGAATGCCTTCAGCTGTCATACTTCTTCCCTGGGTATTGTGTGGGCTCTTAGTTTGGTAGTAAGGTTTTGGTTGATTGGTTGGTTTCATAGGAACTTGGTATGCAACACAGGCTGACTTTGAACTCTGCATCTTCCTGCCTCAGCCTCCAAAGTACTGGGATTATAAATATTCACTACCATGTCTGACTTAGATGTTTTAAAAATAGCAGCAAAAATGTGACTTTGAGTCCTGTCTGACCTATTTACTGTCCCACAGCACTGGGTCAGACTGACAGTGTGTGAATGCCCCTGTTATCAGCCTCAGAGCTGACCACTGATCTGATACCATGATGAGTGGTATAATTAAAAATATGACTTTTAAAACTCACAGAAGGCAAAGATAGACAGACCCCTGCAAGTTGGAGTTCAACCTGGTCTAAATAGTAAGTTCCAGGTCATCCAGAGCTATATAGTAACCCTGTCTCAAAAACTAAAGTAAGACTCAAGGAGAAACTTCTCTGCTAGGGATGGTGGGGGTCTAATTTTGTGACCAGTAAGGAAGACCCCTGTGTTCCCAGCTCAGTTCCCGCTGTAGCCAGGTAACCTAACACTATAGCATAACTCACTCTCTTTCCCCTTGAAGGGATCAGTTCCCCATTTCGGCAGCCATAACAGCCTAACACATGCTTGCCTGACCTTGCCTTGGTCACTAGGAGGTCAGATGCCTGCCTCATGGCAAGGAACCAATCATAAGTTAGCTGGTAGTGCTAAGCTTTACGGCTCTGGGTGTGCTTTACGGACAAGTGCACAGCAATGATGTGCAGAGCATAGCAACTGCCCTGGGAGGGCCTATGGGCCATAACAACCAGTTGGCCAACCAATACAGGGCAAACCCTCCAAGCCTGGAGGCACACCAATCCTGAGCCTGTGCGTACCCCTAGATACTCCCCTTACTCTGCCCTATAAGATCTCTATGCCATGGCTTCTCAGTGTCTTTTCCCCGCCACCATCCGCCATGGTGGATGGATGAAAGGCCCGAGCTAACATGGGGTTATCTTGTTAAACAACTGCAATAAAAGACTCATTGCTTTTGCATCGAAATGGGCCTCTTGGTGATTTGGGGATTCAGAATTTGGGCACAACACCGTCTGCCTACAACACACCATATTTTGCTTTGTTGCTAAAAAGTATAGAATCTCACATTTCTTACCCTACATAGTTCTTTTCCCTTCCCATTTTGTCTGACAGGCTTTTGTCACCAAACATCAGATTATGTTCTATGGAGTAAACACTTTATATAACTCTCTGTGATTAAAGCTTTCCTGAAGCAGTACAGCTTCCCGGCACTGCTGTGGCCCTGGCTCCCTTGGAAGCCTTTGCTCTATTGTCTTCTCCCAAAGGTCTTAAGCCCTGCCTGCTTCTCATGTCCTGGTTATTGAGACTTTGTTAGGAGGCTCCAAGTACAGGTTCAGCTTGAGAGTTCCTGCTCACAGCCTACACAAACCAGCACGTGGGCCTAGGCAAAGACCCCTTGCACTTAGGGATGGGTCCCCTATGTGCTTGCTGTCCCCTGCCTTGTAGCACAAGGACCTTAGTTCTTAGTTATTAAAAGAGAGGAGAAAGGTCTGGTTTATGATGAACGCTGACTTCTTAAGAATTTTCTATTAATTTTTTTCATTTATTTTGCATACTGACCATAGTTTCCCCTCCCTCCTCGCCTCCTATTCCCTTCACTCCCCTCCCTTCAACCCCCCATCCACTTTCCCTCCATCTCTGATGAATGCTAACTTTTAAAAATGAAAATTCTGTAACCCCCTGGAGGGCTCTGTTGAACCCACTACCATGGAGATGCACTTGTGGTCATCACGTGAACAGTGCTTTTGAATAGTTCAAAAACATAAGAGTTTCATTTCTACCTTTATTTCCTACAGAAATGAATTAAATCACATTGAATTGATTTTTAGCTCTGAAAGTATGTTATTCATTAGTTTGTATTTCACTATTAGAAGATGTGTCTAAAGTGATTGTTAACATGACCATAAAACCTTAATGCCAAAAGTCTCTTTGTTCCATTATTATAAATAGTATGTCAGTGACAACAGTATGGGTATAACATTTCTAAAATATTAGCATGAAATGTAGAATGCTATTTGTATATAAGTGAGATGACCTTGTTGCAGTCAGATTCATACAGCTACAACAATCATAGTGATAGCGTATGACCATCTCCAACTGCAAAAATGAGAGTGAATTTTTAGGACAGTTATGCTACTATAATAGACAACAAGATTAAGAAACCTTTTGCACATTAATAGACAGATGGGAGTAGGAGTTTGTGGGATTTTTAATATCTAGGATTGTCATTCATTTCTTTGTGCTTCTCAGCCGTGTGCCAAAAATTAGAGTGCATTATCAAAAATAATTTGTTATGATGTATAAGCTGACAAATCAAGTAGAACTTTAATTGTTTTTAAAAACAGAACTCTGGAAAACTTACAGAGGGTTTTGCTACCTTTTGTGACAGCTCAGGCCTTGTGGTTTGGGTGAAAGGGTCTGAGAGGCTTTCCTGGGGCACACACATCTGCACTCACACAGTTCTTTGACCCAGT